TCGAAATTCTCTCAGACGTTGGTGATTTTTTGTACTTATTCCTCGCAGACGGCGTTAGTACTTAAACGAGATGAATGCATATTGCGAATATGGAGTGCTCATGTCAGTAGGATCTCAGATTTACTAAAATTGATAACACAGGCAGAAATTTACTATAATGGTGTCTCAGACGAGACTTATATGGTATAAACCTTCAGAAAACGCATTTGTTGCAGTAAACCGCCGCATCGATGAGCCCTTCTTCGCTCCGCTTACAATCACTCTTCCAGTTTTTCACTTGAAGAATTAAAAACTTTGTGTCCGATTTGGAACTGAATTGAAAATCGATGCTTTCTTTTAGAGACATGACCGACGACCATATGCATGACCACCATAATACATGCCGAAATTCACGGAGTACTAGCCGAAATCCCTAAACATGCAATCATGCTAATTTACTAAGAGGTATAAGATAAACTCGCTGTTTGGGGTCTGCTGAGCTTCCGTCGATTACCCTTTTCAACTGTTAACGACTATCCTATGGGGAATAAGGAACCTCTTATCGCCAAATGGCTTAGGAACACTGAAATTCCAATTTCATACAAAGAGCCCTGCTATTAGCAAATGGGCGATAGGCTTCCCAAGGGGCGCAAATATAGATATTCTTGATCTTGGGATAACATATTCTTCCATTAAAACTGTTCTAGTTGTTAAAAAATTGAACTATTTCGACTATGGAAGAGAATATGCGCATCCCAGGTTCTTGTTTAAAAGAAGGCAAAGGCACGATCACTGAGACAGTAGACTTATTTGCCTGAGCTTTCGAACTCGAACTGGAGTCCATCATCAGAGACTACTTGAGTGCAGCAAATTGTGAACATTTATATCTTGCCTGAGTATATATGTTGCAATTCCATATGTTTAAAACTGCGCCGTCTTAACAAACAGCATAGTAGAGCGGTGTAAATTAACGAGTCTGCCCATTAGTGACAGTTCTACCAGGCTATGAGAAGCCAAGATCTGGTATTCCAGTTGCCTGTATATTACGGCGAAGACTGATAACGACGCTCTGAAATAGTAACCTTGAATCATCGTTAGATGGATGCATTTAATAGGTTTTTGACAGATAAGCATAATTTCTTCGACCAAATTGTAAAAAACTCCGCTGTACCGATGGGATTCGAACCCATTACAGCCCACGGCTCCCTGTGGGAGCTCGCAGTTCAGGTGGTTAGAGCGTCGGCTGTGTTCAAGCCTTGGGATTCCACTAAGGCCACCGATTTTCCACAATCGAGTTGGCTGAATAGATTCAGTCGTCTTCGCTGCCTTACTTTTGGCTTCAATGTGTCAAAACGCTAGAAGAGGTAGCCGTTGACAAGCAAATGACGTAGGCGTAGGGAGGCCTCTCGGTGGTGAAAATGCCGAAAACCTAGTAAGAAAGAATCAAACCAGATTGAAGATACAGTTTTATTCTCCGAATAACGAAACGCTTCTGCGGAACTCTCAGAAAATGGAAACGCATTTTTTACACAAAAAGGTTTCTTTTCACACACACACAGTGCATGCACTGACTAAAACTTAACCACGTACTTCGACAATTTTGCTGCCAGACGATACATTACTGCATGGTTTCAGCCCGACACAGGGTCTCCTAGCGCTTTCAGTGCAGACTCTGATCGTAATTGAGTTTTAAAGTGAACCTTTTAATTGCTGCCTTTCAATTTCTTCAGAATTTAATCGCTAAATTGGAGTGAATTTTTCTGTTGGAAACTTTTGAGCTCAGACTGAATTCGACAGGAATATTTGAGCCGAAGTCCATCAGTCACTGCGGAATAACAGCGTTATATTCATAAACTGTCATCGGGCTCAAATATTCCCATCCATTGAGTGACCGATCTCACTAAATGTTGACCGAAATTCTGAAATGCGTCTACGATTAGGAAGGATTACTTAGGTGGGGTTGTAATATAGATTATCTAGCGGCATAATCCAATAATATTTCGGACTCACCAGGATGTCGGCTTTTGAATGCACTTCTTTTCGATCTCCTGCAGAAACCACACTCGATAAAAAAATGACTACTTATGTAGCATGCATTTTGCGCGTTGCTTTTCTACGGTCATCTAAATCCAGATATATTTTATAGAAAACATGCCCAGAAATGTGCTTTCTTTCACTTATTTTGTAGCAAATCATGTCGGCCTTGCATTTTATGCCTGAGAACAGGGTATATTTAGGTTTTAAAGAAGTTTTCCAACTCCCGGAAAATTTTAAGCCAGATCAGCCGCTGCATTGGTGCTTGGCGATTTCAGTCTGCGAGGCACATGCTCTCCGCCTAAGGAAAACCATTTATTCCTCCATACCATTAAAAGATACAATTTAGAGTTCATCAAATTTTACAGTGAGTGCATACTATGTTATAAGTGCCATGGGGGCAATGGTAAACAGACAGCTGCGATTCTGTATGAATGTATATTGCACGATCTTAAAAATCATATAATTAGAAACTTTTTAAAATCTGAATGTAGCCCGTTTTCAAGCATAAAATGCAAGGCCGACATGATTTGCTACAAAATAAGTGGAAGAAAGCACATTTCTGGGCATGTTTTCTATAAAATATATTTGGATTTAGATGACCGTAGAAAAGCAACGCGCAAAATGCATGCTACATAAGTAGTCATTTTTTATCGAGTGTGGTTTCTGCAGGAGATCGAAAAGAAGTGCATTCAAAAGCCGACATCCCGGGGGGTCCGAAATACTACTGGATTATGCCGCTAGATAATCTATATTACAACCCCACCTAAGTAATCCTTCCTAATCGTAGACGCATTTCAGAATTTCGGTCAACATTTCGTGAGATCGGTCACTCATTGTCCGTATTCAGTCTGAGAGATTATAAGTCTCAAATAGACTGCTTTACTCCAAGTGAGCGATTAATTTCTGAGAAATTTTAAAAGCAACAACTTCAGAACTGGAGTTCCTAGCAAAAGCACACACTGATGAGCCGAACCCTTGCATCTGTGTCATGCAGCGGCAGAATATCGACAAAACACGTGTCTCGGCTTTTAGCTGGTCCCTGTGCTGTTAGTATGGTATGCCGTGATCCAACACATTCTCACTTATATCTAATGGCAGGACAAAACTAGGTGAACTGAAGGTGGGCGTGAATGCAGCGGACAGTAAGACTAAACAGTCTGTCCGCATGTTCCACACGCAATTTAGTCCTAAAACTCCGTACTGACCAGGCCTCGGAGAATAGGGCGTCTGGGATCTCCCATGCAGCACCATACATGTCACAAGACAGAAGGAGCTATTAAGACGGACTAGGCTTGAAGTCCTGCTGGTAAAGGCGCACACCAATGTGCTGTCTTTTCGAAATGGATAAGCGATGAGTAGCTGGAAGCGATGGCAAATGGGCGACCATCCATCAGCCGAAACTCGACCACAATAGGATGGAAAGGCAGCATCGACAGAAAATGCGGATGGCTTTATTCAATCGGGTGACAGCCTTCCGAGTTACGACTTTTTGCATGGCTTGATAGTATCAGACGCACCAGATTCGGTTATATAGTAATCCTTTGCTATATCGCACTTCCACATTCGTGGATTCACTCTATGGCGGAAGAAGGGCATTCCCAGGGACATCAATAACATCCGATAGAAGGTCAAGCAACTTCATGTTGGATTTGCCGATGCCGGGGTTGGTAAAGACGATAATCCACCGACAATAAAAGTGAATGTACTGCCAGCAAGGCCCGGTTTGAAAAATTCAAGAAAAATACAACTCGGCCAGCTCAAACCTATATGAAGAGGTCGTCTCCGCAGACCAAGCTGCGGCTGAGAAAATATTTCGCCGGCACGTTCAGGGCGATCACTGAGGAGGCCGGACATCGGCCTGAGCAAGGGCTTAGCGTGGATACGGCGACTCTTTTGGAAGTAGATGACGTCTCGTACTGTTACCATGACAGAAGAAGAGAAACACCTCGGTTTCAAGCCCATAAAGATCTCATCACGTCAGTCATGCTGGGCAATATTTGGAGCTCTATGATAAAGTGTGAGCCCATTTATAAGTCAAAACTCCCCGGACCCTGAAAGGCAAGAATAATAATCTGCCGCTTGAGCACTGAATGCACACCCCAGGAGTCCAGATTATGAAGCTCCCGACGTCGGTTTGGTTTCATCAGTGTCACGTCCCGAAATGGTTATACCAGTGTGGAGAGGGTTGAAAGAACTTAAAATACACAAAGTAACCAATAAAAGCGTAGGGTTCTTACATCAAAATTTTGAATTTTCGCGGCAGTTTCTGGATCGCAACCTCGGTGATCGAGGAGTGATCACTGTACAGCGGAATGCACTGATGAACAAATTCCTCTAGGGTTGCCCCACTTCTTGCCTCTACCACGCACTGGTAGCCTGTCCGAACCTGTCTGCGGGCCGGTGGATAGAAGTGTAAACGATAGTCCGTCCAACCCGATAAAAATTTCCTGTCTGCTACGGCTGATAAAGTCAGGGTTACAAGATGCAGCTGATCCACCGGTTTCGCCGCATCTCTCAATCATCTCGTTCGTCCTTCGTAGCCTGTGTTTAAGATTAGACTTTATCAACCCGCAGCGTGAAGGCTATTTTCTCAATTGAAATACACTTTAAGTTTTATCCGCTCGAGGGCATGCGGTATGACTTTAATGTTTCAACCAAAAGATGTATCTGACTTAGAGTATGATAAGAATGTATGTATGTACAAACAGAAAAATACAGTATGCAGTGAAAAACACCTTAATTACAGGGGGAAATCTAAATATACTCTGTTTCGTGTTGAGCCGGAGAAATGCAAACATGTCACACAAATTTTTACAGAGAATGATTTTGAAAAATGGCTGTGCTCGATTATTTTGGTAAAATAGTTAGTCGAGGAAAATATGCAAGTGTGGTGGACCCCAGTACTTGTACACATGAATGTATTGAGGTTTTGAATTTGGGAGGAGGAGGAGAAGGAGGAGATGTATTGGAAACGTAGAACTCAGTCACGAAGCTGGCTCGGCATTACCGTCCGGTACCTTTAGGTAATTCCGAAGCCAGTCAATTGGAGAAACGTTGACGCAGCCTGCAACCTGCTGGTCAATTGGGGCTACCGCATAGCCAGTGCCTCCAGACGGTCCGCCCAGGGCCCCCTTCCCCGAATTGTAAACATACTGGTTTGGTCTCTTGTCCAGACTTCCTCGGAGAAAGGGAAAATTCGGTTTGGCAGCGGATTTCGTGAAGAGAGTTGCCGTATGAATTGGCACGTGGCTTCCATAGAAGGTGCCGAGGTTCAATTGAGGAAAGTAGCTTTTGATGCGCTATAAAGACCAAAAACTCAGAGTAATATCTTTTTAAAAGATGAATTGCCAGTCGATTTTAGTCAGCACATCGGGGTTAACAACAGTCTGACAGCTTAGGATAACCTGCAGTAAATGTTATAATCCTGTTGGAAGATGGGGTTTAGATCACAGCTTTACTTTCCCCGAGCATCGCGGTTACAGACCCTTGTCTACATTTGATGACAACAGACGATTCAATTGTTTTATCTTAATAATTTTTTCAAGTCCGCCCACTTTGTATCCTTGGATGTTCTGTGAGATAAAAGCCTACAGGAGTGAAAATTAAGTAAGAAATAATTGAAAGTTTGCAACTAGGCAAAGAATGGACAAAGCATATCATTAAATCGGCTCAACCATCAACGTTGGTCATCTGTGTTTGGCTACTCTGACACAAATTAAAGGACAGTTTGCCTAGTTTCGCAGAAAACTCTTTGAAGACTCTAATAGTTAGAAAATTAACTTAATCGGACACGTTGCCGCAAGTAGCTAACGAGTGAAATTTTGACGCATTAAATCAAAAAGTGACAATAAACGACCGTTTCACACCTCTTCGATCTCCGCGATAGGCAGCTTCGAGAGCGGCAGTAAGTCAATGGCACTCGTGAGGAGTCCATCTATGCCGTAAATATCATATTGTCCGGGCAAGAGGCTGTCGGGTCCGTAGAACGGAGAGAAAGGAGTATTTGTCTGCTTGTTGTCACTTTCCTCGACGGAGTTGCTTGTGTTGGACTGACGAGTGGCACTGAACACCACAAGATTAGGAAATTCTCCTGTGCGTTCCTCCAGTTTGCGGAGTAGAACGCCCGCGAAATTTTGATCGATTACGGCGAAGATGAGAGAGGCCTTGCAGAGACTAATGTCATCGAGAAATTCTACAATACTGTATCTTTCCAGTACTGTTGCCTGCCAGAAAGGGAAAGTGATAGTACTGAAAATTTGTCTGAAGTAAAAACCACATGACAACAAACAAGAAAGATGTATTCACTCCTGGGTATTTTTTTCTGAAAATCGTTCTTACTTTACAAGTTAGATTCAGAATAAATATTTATATTGCGTTTGATTCAGAAGGATCGGAACAATCACCATCTGCTAAAGTCAGAAGGCGTAAAGTGCTATAATGTTGTCAATACCGTTTCTTTTTATCTACTCGTCAAAAAAGGCAAGGGACAACACATAACTGCCATACACGGCCGTTTGCTGAGAGTTCTTTAAATACAGTTTGCTTAAAGCTTTTTATTGCCACGTGGCAATCGTGGATGAGGAGAAAGAGAGCGGCATGAACATGGATTTCCCTCAAGTTTCTGCCGAGCAGAAACAATGACGGCAAATGTAGCTTATTTATCGAAGGCCTACCCAGCCCTGTCGGTCAATGCTTCCAGGAAAAGAACGGAGAGCAAAGACCAGAGACATCTTCCACTTTACCAAGTGCAAACTGTAATATGACGCTGGGCCAATATCGGGGAGTTTAATTTTATCGCGCTTATCATTCCTAGAGTGGTCGTCGTCATCATCAAATATTCAAAATACTGGGATCGGACAGTGTAACCATGACAAATGCAAGCAAGGCGACAAGAAATACGAACTAACCTCCAAGTTGCCTTTGCGGATCTGACTGAAATCTTTGACACAGTCAATTGGTACGGATACTGGAAAATAATGCTAACATCCTGATGTCCGTAATGCCCCTGGCAGACGGATGGACAACGGCACAACGGGATTATTGTGTGCATCTTGGAGAACGTCTTAATCTCGGAGGCACTCGCTCTGACAAACGGGTAATACAGGGCTGTATGCTTGCCCCTACCCTCTTTAACCCCATGTTCTCCATCGCGTTAATGGGTGGCTGTCGCAAGGAGCGGCTGAGAAACAACATCAGTTGTCGAGCTGACTGACAACTGCTCAGCAGCCGATGCATGCAGGTTTCTGTGAGTTTCTAAGGCCGGCGCCCATGACCTCCTGATGACGGATGGCTACGTACTAAATACAGTGATGAGAGACGGCATGCAGCGGAGTTTGAACCTTTTCATCTCTGGCTGTTCATTGTTCGGACGGACGATAAACCAGAAAGAACGGGGATTATGCTTTAATCAACAGAAGTTGACTTGTATAAGGTGTCCTGGATCAACATGCATGCATGATGTTGTATGCGAAATAACGTGAGAACACGTTACACACATGCTGGAATCGAAAAATAGTCACGGTTCTAGTCAGCCTTCTGTGGTGATTGAAAATTTTGCGCTGGATAGCTGGGGAAGACTTCGTTCTGGATGCACACAATAGAAAATATTACGACGGAAGAGTGACTAACAGGGTCACTTACTGAAGACAAGTTTAATTGCAGATATAGACACATTCCAAAGGGGATACAGCTTCCGGTTAAATAGTTACTTGATGTCTTTTCTATCAGAAACCGTCTATTGCTGGCATTTTATTCAATTTCCGTTGCGTCCAGATGTGTTTTTAACTTCGCTGCCTTCGCCCTTTCGAACAGCTATTTTTTCTAGTGTTTATAAGCGCAAAAATACACACGCATGACGGCCAAGGGAGAAAGTGCTCCCCGAATTACCGCGAACGCGTTCAGACTCCAATGTCCCAACCTCTATGACAGGGTCATTTATTCTGAAGGCGTATCAATAAATCAAAGCTACGCGCATAAAACATAAACGCGTCGTCGACAAAAAGACTAAAAGCGCAGCAGCTGTCACCTATCTCCCATCGTTTTCACTGCCTTCGTCCTCGACACCATTCGTGACGAACTGGCTTCACCCAGTAAGACGCGTATGCCTGGTGGCCTACCCGGGCAAGCACATGCCTCATTGCCTGCCTTTATGAATTGGTAATTAATCTGTTCTTAAAGCAAGCAGGCTGTTGACAATCGCCGATCTTTGTGTGCGCATGACCGTGTGTTTGCGTGAATATCAAAAGGCGTGTGCGCTTGTGTTTGGTCCTGGCTGTCGCAAACTGGGCCGTTTTGTGTCTGGCCAAGATCACGTGTGGCTGTTCGTTTCATGCGTACTTGTGTACGTGTGTCGCAGAGCCGGCGTTGCTGGGGGCAGCATGAAATTTCACTAAAACTGTCTACCGCAGCAGGACCCCGAACTAAACAATTTCACTGCTAGGCTGCTGCTGCAGCTGTCGTTGTGTACCTGTTGGCCGCCATCCTCCTTTAAGTTCCAGAGCAGCATGTCGCCGTCAGGCAGGACAAAGTTGTTGAAGTAGAGGAAGAGTGTAGAAACACAGTTTGGAGTGTGGCAGAGGATTCGTAACCGTTCACGAAAACCTTCTTTACTCGGCTTGTCCTCGAGGCGGGGACTGTCCCGGGGACCTTCGTCTAAAATCAGGGGAGAGGAAAAATTTTTGGTATGCATGATTTTCGAAAACTTGTGCATAGATGAACACGCGACTTTTTCGAAATTCACTGACGGGAATGTTACATCCGTTTGCATTTTCTAAGATGAAACATACTGGGGATAAAACCTCTGACCTTCCAGGCCAGTGCTGACAACTTCGAGAGCAATACGGCTTTATCTGTGTGACCTTATTATATAATTCTGAGATTGTCCACAGCGTTCACGCTTAAATGCTACTTTCTTTCAAAGAGTATCTGAGAAGGCGTGTCTTTCAGAACAGGCCTCTTTAATCACGGGAACGCATGAAGTCAGTCTCATGTCTTGTAATAGCCGGTCCAATTTGTCGTACTGACTGGCAGAGGACAAGTGGATGGAGTGAACTTGACGTAGTTTTCATCTTTACTTAACATCAGCCAACACCTTTTGGTTAGGAATTTGTTTGTAACGTCCACTTTCCCATAGGAATAACCGGTTGAAAGCCAAGCATGTCATAAAAGGAGGCAAGATTCGAACAGCAAGCTCTGACCTGTTCTTCGACACCAAGTTAGTGAGATTATGGCAAAGTATAAAGCGCGCGAGGCTTCATTCTGAACTACCTGTTGTCAAAGCCATCGCTTAGTGACAGCGCGTAGTATCTAGTGGAGTGGCGGCTCCTTCAGCAATTAGATCTTCGGCACCAAATTCCTTTGCACCTGAGTATCAATCCACAGCCTGAGCTGAATCTACTCTTCTTTTGCAAGTAAGCTAAGGCGTCGGTGACCGGAACCGCACTAATAAGTGCAGGCACGTTACGAACTGCACAAAATACATTTCTTGTGGACATTTCCTACTTTTGGAAGCTCCTTGGCGGTGGGTTTCCGTTCGCAACTAGCAAGTTGTTCCACTTGAACTCACGGCTCTTCATAGTCCTATTTTAGCCCATCTGTGCGGTAGACTAGAAGGGCTCACAAACGTTTACTAGATATTACTGGGTATTGGGGTCTGCGATGCATAGAATGAAGAAGAAACCAGAAGGCTGAACATCATCTACACGAGTCCATGCCAGAAGGTGTCGTCTGCCTACAGCCCAATAGTGAATAGACAAGATTAGTTATGGAAGCAGACTGTCTCCAGTCTTTGCATGAAAATACTTCTGCCAGGTGCCCACCTGCGTCCGAAAAGACGCCACTTGCGAAAGCGTCCATGAAGAAAGTGGACATATAAGAATTGGTGTAGCCGAGGAAACGGAGTTTCTCCACCAGCTGATTGACGTGCGCCTTGGTTAGAGAGGCATGCCAGCGGTCCGTCCAGCTACTGGCCAGAAGCAGGGCATAGTCACAGCGGGCGTAGGCGGAACAAAGTTGGTCAACATGCGGATCCCGCTGAGGAGGTACGATGGGGTCAAGTGTCTGGACTGGGGGTTGGGGCAGGAAAGATGCAATTGCCTCTCTCTTGCGCATGGGATTCAGCCACTGTGATGGTCGGCTCCAAAGGCCTCCTTCGACGGGTTCCGTTACACTTGAGTAGGAAGTTGGTAATACACGACGTCGATAGAGTCCTAGGAAGTCACCAGGATATAAGAAAGCCTCATCAGTAAACGCATTTTAAGGAGTCTTCTACGACAACTGAACATTCCGGCTGGCCAGTAGGCCTCCAGTCCTTTTGCGGTTGCTCTGGTACACAGGTTACTGGAAGTCTTAAGAACAGAGAATGAAGTCCAAGAAGGCATGTAACAAGTGCCTTATGTGGTAGTAGATGTAAATTTTCTTTAAACTCCCCATCCATCACCGGAGTTAGACCGGACGGTGGCAGTGATTACACACATATGTTAAAGCGATGACTTGATAAGTTATTAGCGAAATAAATTTCAGTGAAGAGACTAAGACAAGCCTTTAAGGTTGGTTCAAACTTTTAACAATTATCCAAGTCAGAGCGAATCCAATTCTTTTGAATGACCGCGAAATACGAATTCTAGGAACGAGTATTTTTGTCTGTCACTTTCGGTCCTATTAAATTAATCTTCCTGCTAGGCTCAAACGCGGGGCAGAACGGTAAGCAAGACTTGTAACTCCATCGGGCGCTTGAGTTATGCATATCTTTGAGCAATTTTAATCAATGTCTATCGGAACTCACGTCTACGACGATTCTGCTGGACTGCGTTGGGGCACGGAGCAAGTCCGAGGGCAACCAGAGGAACACAGCGAAGAATGCTGACGTTGGAGGACTGCGGTGAGCGCAGACTCCTGGTGGTCCTCTCTCGGAGCTGTTTTCTCCTAGAAAACAGTGACCACTGGGACAGACTGGCCGTCATCGAGACGGGCGAGGTTGTGTCTCGAAGGGAGTTCTTCGTTGTCACAATTCGCACGCTGGGAAGGAAGTGAAATTCACAGGTCTGCTGGTCATTGCTTGCATCTTCGTTAGCTTGTAAATCAGACGATG